AAAGGGACAACAAAAATAAATATAAATAGTATTAAAGAAACTTATTAGCTAAAATAATTTGATTTTTTATAACTATTTTTTAACCCAATGATTTAAAAAACTTACTAATTTTTTATTAAATGTCAGAAAAAGCAAAAAATAAGTGAGTACTAAAGAATAAACAAACAATTTGTTATATAAACTCTGTTTTTTTTAAAAATAAGTTTAAAAGTCTCTTCAGTAATCTATCATAAATTCAATAGAGACTGATTCACCTTCAGATGCTGTTTCTGTTTCATTATCATATTCTAAAGAAATAGATTTCCCTAGTTCAATTTTAAGTCTTTTTTTGGATATTTTTTTTATATTCTTACTTTTACTTTGTGTAACATCTTTCTTATCACCACCTTCATTTTTTTTCTCATTTAACATCTTTCTTATCACCACCTTCATTTTTTTCTCATTTAACATGTCTAAAAGGCCCTGGTCTAAAGCTTTACAAGGACTCAAGGTGTTTTCACTTGGTAATTTGATTTAAATTGCATTAAGATTAAATGGCACCAAACTAAGCTCTAAATCCACTTATTAAATTTTTTCTCAAACATTCATTAATAGATGTCATTAAATCATTCAGCAACTTAAAGTAATCTTCTTTTGGTAACGTTGAAAATTTTTTACCACAAGAAGTAAGTTTCTAATCCAGAAGTATACTTCTCCATGCTTTTTTTAATGGTGCAAAGAATGCAACATCAAGAGGTTGAAGTAAATGGGTTGAATTGGGCAAAAGGCATATGAATCTAATGTTATGTTTTTCACAGGAATGAATAACTTTATTACTTAAATGGGAAGAGACATTGTCACTTATTAATACTTTTTTCCCAGTTTGTTTCTTAACGCATGGCAATAATGTTCGAAAAAACCAATCATCAAAAGTAACTTTATCAAACCAGCCAGGTTGGGTTCTGTTAAAGCGAGAATTATTGGGACCATGTTTTATCCATAAATCATATAAATAAGTGCTTTTAAAAACTGTGTATGGTGGATGAATTTATCCTACTGCTATTCATTATTTTCTAAGGGTACTTAGTTCCACGTTTCATAAGAACTTTTTACAGGGTTGTCACGCAAATTTGTTTCATCATTATTCCAAATGTTGCACGGTGGAATTCCTTCAAGCTCAAGTCTAATATTGTCAAAATAAATTTTTAATTGTTCTTTATTTATAACCGCACGTTTTCTTTTAATATTTGATGCAATTCTATGAATTAACTGTGAACGTTTCATAAAACTTGAGACCCAATCATCACCAGGAACATTGTTTTTAAATTCTTTTACAGTACAATTTTAATTTTTGCAATTTTAAATAACCAGCTACAAAAATTTTAACATCAACATTTATAATACTTTTACTTCATTTTATTATGTATAGTGTTTCTTGGTATACTAAACTTTTCTGAGGCTTGACGAATAGACATACCTTTATTAATTGCACCCATACACTCTTTCAAAAGAATGGTATTAGAATAAGTCTTGTATACAAGTTTTCCAACAGCATACTTGTTATATTTACGAGGCATTATGCTTTAAGCAAAAGTAAATATAAACAACACAAGCAAACTGCAATATAGTAATTTAATAAACTATTATATAATTTTATTAAACTGCAATTAAATTTAAAACAAAGAGTCTACAGATTTTAATTTTGTTATAAAGTTAATAAAATTATGATTTAGCAACAACAATAACAAATAGTTTAACAAGAAAATATAATTTTTTTATCATAAAATACATTCATGCTAAAAACTGTTTTTCAAAATAAATCATTTAGACAACATGCTTCAAAAAAGTATTGTGGTTATTTTAAATAACAATCAGTCTACTTTAAAATGAATATTATTTACTTGGCCAAAGTTACCCCAAAAGAGTATAAACCTACGGGGTAACTTTAACCACCTTGTAAAAAAACCAGAATGTGGTTACTTAAGAGTTCTTGTAAAAAAAAACATTTTCTAACGCTTTGCGTGGCGTTTCTTTCAATAATAACGTCGAATTGCAGGCTTGGCTGGACGAATTTTTTGAGTCGAGACCAAGAGATTTCTACCGAAGAGGCAATTAACAACTCGTGGAACGATGGGAACAAGTCGTAAACAACTACGGAGAGTATATTATTGATTAATTTTTTGTTAATTATTGTTGAAAAATAAAACTAAAAAATTGAAAAAACGACCATTACTTATTAGCCAACTGAATAATTGATGACATATTTTTATAAACATAGACATATTTGATTGTAAAACAAATTTTTTTTTTGCTAATTGTTTGAAAATATTTATTTAAATAGTTTAAAAATAGTTTTTTTTTCTTTGTTGCTATATATTGAAATATATATTAAATATTTAGGAAAGTCGTTGTTTACATTTTTATTTTTGGCCTTAAGCAACTAGCTTAAATATCTTAAATAATTATAATTAAGTATTAAAAATCTATTAAATAATTATATATTAAATAAATATTTAATTATAAGTGTTCATGAAGTCAAAAAAAAATCCGTGCAACGAAGTAATAATGCAAAAACATTAAACGGTTTGATGAAGAACTATAACGGGTTCATAAAAGAACCTTATTTTATGGTTCTTCCGAAGAACCTTCGCAAAGGGTTCTATGAAAAACCTCTACGAGTGCTCCACCAGCGTCAACGCGAATCTTTGAATAACTACTCGGGTTTAAAGTATAAATACGATATAAATAAAATGATTATTATTAGATTAGCAGCCGTGGTGCAGTGGTTAGAGCAACCAAAGGTTGCGGGTTTGATCCCGCTCGAAGCACTTAAACGTTATCGGTGAAGTTGAAAACGGAAAGCCGTTTTTTATTTATTTTAAGACATTTGCTAATTTGAAAACATTAAATGTTACGAAGCGCTTTAAAATCTATTGTTTGTTTGAGACCGTTATTTTAAGCAATATATAGTCCATTTGTGGTACTTAAAACACTTTTAAACATTGCTCATTGTTAGTTTTGTTTATTATCATTTTTATTATAAAGAGTATTATTCATGTTTTTTGTAATCTCAACAATAAATATTTGGTGTTAAAATTAATAATATTCAAATATAGTAGCCAATGCTAGTTACGCGGATTTGCACTATCCCCGACGAAATATTTACTATTGTTTTTATCTCACTCGCTTTTTAATCTTTTATCTACCTTGCTATTAAAAATACGCAAATAAAAATAATTGTTCCGAATGGGATATGATCTAAACACAACCCACAGACACCCCTGCCCCCTCCCCCCCCCCTCACACACAAACACACACGCATACATTTATAAATTTATTACAAGATAGTAATTTTGTAATAAAAAAGTTTTTTTGTAATGTCTTTTAATTGATTTAATAGTTTTTATAGATTTTTAATAGCATTTTATTTTATACAATAGTTTAATGCAATGTTATAGGTAATAAAAAATCAATAAGTTAAACTAGATCTGCTACATCACATTATATTAGGAGTAGTTAAACAAGATTAAAGTAAATTTTACACAAGTAATGCTGAAAATAGTAATATTTTATATAAATTCGACTTATAAAATGCAATAAACTTTAGTGAGGATTGACGCTTGGACATTAGCCTTGGAGAATAAAACTAATATAGAAAATATTATATCTATTTATAGAATAGATGACAGACTCTACAATTGGATTGAATGTTACCTAAGAGATTATATCCCCATTATTGGCGCGATATTATTTCAAAGCTATTATATCCCCATTATTGGCGCGATAATATTTACAATATTGGCGCAATATTTTAAACATTATCGCGCCAATATTGCAATGTGAAAATTTTGCCAATATTGACTTTACAATATTGGCGCAATATTGTACCGCAAATATTGGCCAATATTGACTTAACAATATTGCCGCAATATTGTAGCGCCAATATTGGCCAATATTGGCAAAATGTTTACATTGCAATATTGGCGCGATATAGTTTATAATATTGCGCCAATATTGTAGACAATATCGCCCAATATCGTTTGCTACTTGGGTTGTTTACCACAGCTATATTGTTTCTGACTTAAGCTTCAACTTCAAACAATATATATATATATATATATATATATATATATATATATATATATATATATATATATATATATATATATATATGAAATGTATTGAAGTGTTTTTATTTACAATATACAACATATGAAATATAAAGAAGTATTTTTCTTTATTAATTTTTGCGATTTTTCTATAGAAACTACCATAAAAACAAGATAAAGAGGTTTTTTCTTAAAATGTTTAATTTCCTACGATTTTCTGAAAATAAACACTAAAACAACAGAATACAATAATGAGTAAAAAACAAGTGCAGATATTTTATAATTTACAAATGAACAAAAAAATGTCGTTTAGTGACATTTCACAAATACTAAAACTCTAAAAGTATAAATAACTAAATAAAAATTCGCCAAATAAAAAAGATAAATAAAAGTTTATCAAATAAATACAAATAGGAAAAAAATAATAATAATAATAAAAAATATTGAAACCTAAAAAGTAGTCAAAAATCTTTATTTATTATTAAGTAGCGTCATTATATATCAGTGGCGTAACTATTAATTTCGGGCCCCTCTGCTGAAAAAGTGAAAGGTCCCTCCTTAAATTTTTTCTCCCACTTTAAATTTTTTAAAATATATTTAAGAATGAAATATCCATTGTTTGCTTTTTATATTAAGTCTATATAAAATATGTATTTTTGTATATCTTAATAATATTTAAATTTGTATATCTCTGCGGGGCCCTCTAAGCTCCGGGGCCCCTGCTTTGCGGGATTATACTCCTCCTAGTTATGCCACTGTTATATATACATATATATATATATATATATATATATATATATATATATATATATATATATATATATATATATATATATATATATATATATATATATATATATATATATATATATATATATATATATATATATATATATATATATATATGACGCTGACCACAATAAATATAAATCATATAATATATGACATTTAAAACTATAAACTTTAATTTCGTGAAAGTTTGATCGAATCTTCAGTAAAAGTTACTATATTTTAAATTTCTTAGACCGATGATTCTAGAATAGACGCTTTAAAAAACTCTTCTTCCAAAATATCACTTGCGTCAGACGATATGCTGTGGAATGAGGGTACGTTATAATAAATATTTTCTTCGTTGATGTCAAAACTAAAATAACTGTCACCTTGAGTAATAATTTCTTCAAAAAGCTTGCGTAACTCTGTAAAGGTTGGTCGCTGTAAAGGATCATCACTCCAACACTGTACCATGATATCATACCTGAAAATTAAAAAATCAATCTTTTGCAAAAAAAAAAAATGTTTTTCAAGAGTATAAAACTTTTAAAAAAATAACAAATTACATAGGTTGAGAACAATTTTCTGGTCGATCCATCCTGTAACCAGACTTCAAAAGTTTTAGTAGTTCACGATTACTTATTGTAGGATAAGGCGATCCTCCTGTTAAACGAAAAAATAGTGAACTTAAAATAACATAAATTGCAACCATTTTAACAAGAAGCGTTTTTATTTATACGTACCCAGCGTAACAATTTCAAACAAAACAACTCCATATGACCACCTAAAATAAATTTTCAAAACATGTTTTTTTAAATACATATTTATGTATACAGCCCAAAACTTCCCTTACACTCCCCTCCCCCTTTGAACTAAGCACGCAAGAGTATTAAATTAAAAAAAAAAATTGAAAACTCTCGTTTCTGAAAGTTTGGGTTTTTTATAGCAATTAAAAATAAGGACACATAGAGTTACATAAAGAAAACTCTAAGCAAGTCGTAATATGCCTAAAAGAAAAATTACTGAAAGACAGGTTTCTTCTAATTTATCTTTAAAAGACAAATTAGGAGAACAAATAAAAATAGTAAAGTTATTGATTATGACCTAACACCTACAGTCGTGTGCAGTAAAATAGTAGTGCGCATTTTATTTTTCTATCAACAAACTTTGAACATCAAAATATATTTTTCTATTGTTTGTTTTTTATCGTTATTGTTCATAAACTAAATGTTGTGATTATAATAGTATAAAAAAAATTAAAGAAAGATCATTGCAGCACTGCATGGTTTTAAATTTCAATATTATCGATTGAAGGACATTCGTATTTTTTTTTTAGACTGTGCAATAAAATAGTAGTGAAAAATTAATTTTTGTGTAATATTTGCTGTACTTATTAAATTCTAATTAATATTAGTTCTTAATAATAAACAATATATAAGTAATTAATTTTAATATTAGATAAATTTATACACTAACTAAAATTTTGAAAATTTAGAGAAACATGGGGCGCTCTAAGCATTATACTGAAGAAGTTCTTAATTTAATTATAAATCTTAAAAATCATGGTTAAGCCTACAAACAAATATAAAAACTGGTTAGATGCTTACCAACAATGATTTTTAATGCTTTAAAATGGATACCCAAACCAGAAAAACGTGGAAATAAAAGATCAACTACCGCTATAGAAGATAGTCGAAATGTATCGTTAGCGAAAAAAGGAGTCATTTATTACTTCTAGAAAAATTAAAAAAGAGCTAGAATTAAATGTTAATACCTCAACTATTCGAAGAAGATTAACACATGCTGATTTAAATGCAAGAACATTTAGAAAAGTGCCACTTTTGAGTAAAAAACATATTAAAAATTGTTTAAAATTTGCACTTATGCATGCTTCTTGGCCTAAAGAAAAAATTGCAAAATGTTTTGTGGACCGATGAAAGCAAAATTAAAATTTTTGGTTTCTATGTTCGTAAACAGTATGTTAGAAGACCAACGGGTGCAGCATATAAGCCACAATTTACATTAAAGACCGTCAAACATGAAGGTTCAAAAATAATGATATGGGGTTGTTTTTCTTACTATGGTCTTGGGCCGATACATCACATAGAAGGTATCATGGATCGCTTTGTATATGTAAAAATACTTAAGGAGATCGTGCTGCCTTATGCTGAAGAAGAAATACCGTTAAAATTAAAATTTGTTACAGAAGAATAATGATCCCAAACATACGAGCAAGTTAGCCAAATCGTGGTTTAATGAGAACAAAATCAATGTGATGGAGTGGCCAGCACAATCCCCCGACTTCAATCTAATTGAAAACTTGTGAATTGATGTTAAACAAGCAGTTTCTGAGAATAATCCAAGAGGTTGTAATCAATTGTGGGACGTAGTACAGTCAGCATGGCAAAATATATCTGTCGAACGGTGTCAGAATCTTATTAACTCCATGCAACGAAGATGCTTGGCGGTTATTACAAATAAAGGTCATGCCACAAAATACTAATGTAGAGCTTCAAAAAAAAATTTTTTTTTGTAATAAAATTTTATTAATTTTTGACATTTTCATAAAAAATGATTTTCACTACTATTTTATTGCACAGTATAAAAAAAAAATACGAATGACCTGCAATCGATAATATTAAAATTTAAAACCATACACTGTTGCAATTATCTATCTTAATTTTTTTTTATATTATTATAAACACAACATTTAGTTTATGAACAATAAAAATAAAAAACAAACAGTAAAAAAATATACTTTGATGTTCAAAGTTTGTTGATAGAAAAATAAAATACGCACTACTGTTTTACTGCACACGACTGTACATTCACTACTAAATTTCAAAAACTGTTAAAAAACTGTTTCAAAAACTCATAAACCAGAAAAAAATGACCTAATACGTCCTGTTGTTTCCACTATTAACACACCACCTTATGGAACATCAAAGTATCTGGTAAAAATTATTCAGCCAACATTAAATAACTGTTAATGTTAGTCATAGCTGAAGCATTTTTGCAAAATATAGAAAAAAGAGCACTTAACTCGCTCGCTTTGATTCGAAAGAAAAACAAAAATTGTTTCTTAAAACTTCAAATGAAAAAAACCCCTCCATAAAATATACTGTTGAACTTGAAAACGAAATAAAACAAATTAACTTTTTAGATATTTCTATTATAAATACAATGAAAGGATTTTATGAACTTCAAGTACACTGTAAGGATGGAATAACCAATGTTCAAAGAAAACCAAACTTTAACATCAACCCAAGCATAACCACTTTCGTCATTAAAGGATTTCTATGTAGAGCAAAACAAATCTGCTCTCAAAAAACATCTCTCATAAGAAATCGATTTCCTCAGGTACATTTTTTGAAAACGGCTATAACAAAAGTAATCTTATTAAAATAACCAAAAACTATTAAGACCGCATTTAATAAAATGCTACATCAAAACAATTAGATAAGCAGTTTGTTTAACTACTTGGATACCTATTATTGGTCCTAAACTCGGAAGAGAACTTAGAAAACAAAACATCAGAGTTATATTTATTTCAGCTCCCAATTTAAATATCATACTATGCAACAACAAAATAAAACTACCTCCGAACTAAAACCCGGGTGTTTACGAGCTTAAATGCTCATGCGCAAGTTTATATATTGGTGAGACCAAAGAGAAAATTATTTCATAAAGGGCAGAACACCAAAGAGCCTGTAAAAATCAAGTGGTGAATCCTAAGACCTTGGCAGTCATTCCAGAATACAAGATAAGGAAAAAAAAAGAGAATCCCTAGAGATAAATAAAGCAAGAGTTTGACACAAGATAGGTATTGGGCAAACTGTTCTAAATAGAGATGGCGGGGATAATAAAAACAAAAACTTGGGGACCAATTTTGACAAAAATTTAACTGACGCCTATTATGTTATTTAATTGGTTTTTGTATTTTACGCTTCTTAACGTCTTCTTTTTTAAACGGTTTTATGTTATTTTGTAACGTTTTTTTCATTACCTGATGACGCTGACCACAATAGGTCAGTGAAATGTTGTTAATACATTATCATTTCAAAATATATTTAAAAAATAGTTATACGCTGTCTTTTTTATTGAAATCAATTTATATATTTAGAAACATATCGTATAACAAGAAATGACATTTAAAGATATATATATATATATATATATATATATATATATATATATATATATATATATATATATATATATATATATATATATATATATATATATATATATGTACATTATATATTATAGCAGACTTTTTTTGTATATATTCAACTTCTAGTTCTATAATCATATGAAAAAATGATGAAAAACATCTTTAAACAATAGTAAATACTTACACATCACTGCGTGACGTAAAACTACAATCAAATAATGATTCAACTGCCATCCACTTGACTGGTAAACGACGACTTTTAAAACTTTCATAAACTAATTTTTCATTAAGTTGACGCGTCAATCCAAAATCTGATATTTTTACATCTTTTGAAGCACTAACTAAGATATTTCTAGCAGCAAGATCACGATGAACTAGATTAATACTTGTTATGTACTCCTTAAAGAAGATACTTAAATTAAAAAGCAAAGAAGATACAACTCAAACTCAAATTTGAAACACTCACACCAAACCAAATCAAAACAAATAAATTTTAAGACACTAATACCATTCCCGATGATATTTGCCATGCAAACCTAAGCAAATCATTAGGGGTTATTACTTCTAATGACAGAATTTCATTTTGTACCATTTTTGTTACCTATAAAATATTTCAGTGAAGTAAAAAGTTATATATAAATAATTTAACAAACATTAAAAAATTAACAAATATAAAAGTATAAAATATAAAATATAAGAAGTTAACAAAAAACCTAAAAAAAAAATACCTCAAGATGTTGCGGATTTTCTGTGTACATAAAACTTTTAGTTTCCTCAGTAGTTCTGAGCTAAATAAGTTAAGTTTTAAGTTAAACATACATATCTAATAAGTATTCTAATTTCAGATTTAAGCTAAATATATGCATGTTCTACGTTAATAAATAATAAATGTCACCATACTAATATTATTTTATTATAAAGAAAAATATTATTGTTATTTATTATTATTATTTTATGATTATTCTAATAGATTTAACAGAAATTAAAACTGTTTTTCATTGTTTTTTTGATTGTTTTTATCACTGATTTTTAAGTGAAAAATTTGACACAATTTTCAAGATTTTAAAGATTATTTTAGTGCAAAAAAAAAAATTTGTATTAAAAATTTGTATTAAAAATTTGTATTAAAAATTTGTATTAAAAATTTGTATTGAAATAAATCTTAAAATAGTTCCTGCGTTTAATTAAAAAAATTACTCTTTTAAAAAAAACTTTTTTGATTAGTTATTCAAAACTCAATTATATTTTTTTGATTAAAAGTACACATTAACTTTATTATTAAAATTAATGAAGTATTTATTATTAAAATTAACTTTATTATCAAAATTAACTTTATTATTAAAAATAAAAGAAAAACTACCAGAAAAAAGGTCAGATTTTGAGTCTGTTGACTGCCAACCTCCCAATGCCCCGCATTGAAAGAGAAAAATTTTATTCAGATATTCTTAGTAGACTTAATTTATTTACATCATGATAAATTAAAGACAGTTTTAGGTCTATATAAAGTTACCTTATTTAATTTATTTATATAATATTTTATTTATTTATTAATTTCAATACTTACTTTTACTTACAATCTTGTTTGTTATTTGTTTGACTGTTACAATTAACCATATAGCTTTTAAAAATATTTTTTTCTAAGATCCTTAATCCATTGCTGAGTCTAATATATCTGTAATCAATTCTTTAGATTTCATTGCTGAAAATATTTTAAAATAGTATTTAAAAAAGTTTATTTTTTTATAACATTTTTTCATTATGCGGTAGCAGATACTTAATTGTTGTTCATTTAGCAATCAAGTTGTAGTATAAAACTGTTCATTGTAAATATTTAATTACACTATAAACTTCATTTATTTCAGTTCATTGAAAAAAGTTTCTTAGAAGGATCCAAATATTTGCTTATGAAAACACATTTCATAAAAAAATTTTAGGAAAATAGTTTTGCGAAAGCAAAGAAAATCAAAAAAACTTCTTTGATTTTCATTTTATTAATCTCTGCCTTTCCAGATGGATATATGATCACTGTTGAAAGTTCCTGAACATTTTTTGAGTGTAAACATTGCCCAAATTGCAGCCAAAATTTCGATCACTGATTAAGATTTAGTGATACCTGACTAAGTTGTAGTGACAAGCAGTTTTAAATTTTTCAGTTTTAAATATTTTACAAAGATTCACCAAGAACCTCACCATACAATGATTTTTGTTTTTTACTGAAATACCATCACTGAAAAGAATTAAATAGTTAGTTTCACTGGGGATTTCTTAGCCTCACCTTTGTGGTAAATTTACATTTTAGCTTTTTTTGATTTTATGTTATGTACACAAAAGTGGAAGTGCTAAACTTTGCATTTAGTCAAAACAAAGCACTATTTTTTTTTTCATCATTCTGAATCATTTCCTTCTGTTTTATATAAAACTTCTTGGCTCTGCGATTTATTTGTTTAGCAACTAAGCTGTGTTTTACATGGTTACTTAGACATGGGTCCCTTTGAAATTCTCACACTCACTTTGCGGTCTATTTTGCCTTTCTCTCTCTCTCTCTCTCTCTCTCTCTCTTATATATATATATATATATATATATATATATATATATATATATATATATATATATATATATATATATATATATATATATATATATATATATATATATATATATATATATATATATATATATATATATATATATATATATATGGTGATCTCGAGATATATATATATATATAAATATATATATATATATATATATATATATATATATATATATATATATATATATATATATATATGGTGATATTGAGATGGTGTCTCGATAAAAATACTCATCTTGGGCAGATGTTACATGCATTTGGCTGCTGTCTTGTAGAAGGCCTCCTAGGCAAAGACTTAAGGGGTAAACAGATTCTATCTGTTGACCAGCCTTGCACCCCTTCGTCATCTATTAGGCTGGTGCAAATATATTTTTAATACATTGTTTCCAGTTTAGGATGTTGAACGCTGGATCTTCTTGACTCGATTCATGGATTTTGCTTGTGTCTCTGTTTTTATGATTAGGCAACTCATTCTATTATTTCCAAATGAGGGTACAGCTCTAAAACTCAGTTTTATGGTTCTGAGGCCGGCTGGTAGTCAGGTTTCCCGAACTCTGTGGTAGCTCTCAGAGAGGCTGATTCCATCAACAGCTGAAAAATATCAGAGTACTAACAGTGCCATGTTGCCCATGGATGGTGTCCCTGTTTGTACTTTTGGTGTGCATTGCCAAGGCCACATTGGAGCCCTTTGTTACGGCTTAGGGTTTATTAGTGGAAATGAGGCAATTAAGCTATAGAGCAGTGTACCGAGTACTATCAATGTTTCGAGTCAAGTTCTTTAACAAATTTAAAAATGAATAAAGTAACAAAAACTATAAAACACAAAAAACCACAGTCATCACCAAGTTCGCTAAACCTATCATTCACCAATATTCGTGGTCTTCGAAGTAACTTTTCTTCTGTTGAGTCTTATCTCTTGCAAAGTTCACCAGACTCGCTTGCTCTTTGTGAGACTAATTTGAGTTCAGCTGTCTCATCTTGTGATCTTAGCGTTGATGGTTATCTTCCTTTAATTCGTAAAGACTCCAATAGTCACATGCTTGGCCTAAGAATTTACATTCGTAAGAATTCACCCATTTGTCGGGAAACTAGGTTTGAATCCACAGACTACTCTTTTATGTGCTTTCGTTTAGCACCACTTCACTCTATCACCTTTCTCTTTGTTCTATATCGCTCTCCCTCATCCCAAGACTGCACTCTTCTTGATGTTATTTCTGATTATATTGACCAAGCCCTCATTCTTTATCCATCAGCCAATATTTTTGTTGTCGGTGACTTTAATGTTCATCACACTGAATGGCTTGGCTCTAGTGTCAGTGACTCTGCAGGCATTAAGGCCCACAACTTTTGTCTTTCTCAATCCCTAACTTAAATAGTCAACTTTCCAACTCGCTTTCCAGACAACCCGAATCATTTACCTTCTCTACTTTACTTATGTCTTGTTTCTGATCCTAGTCAGTGTTCAGTTTCTTCACACTCACCCTTAGGTGCGTCTGATTATGGTTTGGTCTCTCTAAAACTATTATCTCATTCTTCTTTACCATTAGAATCCCCCTATCATCGTACATTTTACAACTACCTTAAAGCTGACTGGGACTCTTTTCGTGACTTTCTTCGTGATGGCCCCTGGGTAGAAATCTTTCGTCTCCCTGTTGACAAATGTGCTTTTTACATAACTTTGTGGATTCAGGCTGGCATGGAATCCTTTATTCTTTCTCGACGATTCCAGGTCAAGCCTCACTCTTCTCCATGGTTTTCCTCACATTGTGCTGCTGCAATTGCCAATCGAAACCATTACTTCCATATCTATCATCAAAACAATTCTCCAGAAAACAGGCGTCTCTTTATTACTGCTAGGAACCATTGTAAAAAGGTTTTGTCTAACGCCAAAACCCGCTATTCTCAGATCATGAAATCTCGTATTTCATCACAAAAATTAGGCTTTCGTGACTTCTAGAGAATCTTTAATAGTATCAATAAAAAGGGCAAGTCTGTAATTCCACCTCTTTTGTACGGTTCAGACTTTGTCACCTCACCTAAAGACAAAGCTGAATTGTTTGCCAAGAACTTTTCATCAATATCACCTCTTGATGCCACTAGTTGCGTTTTACCTGATATACCCGTCAAACAGGTTGATCCATTGCTCGACATTCATATCACTCCAGCTTCTGTATCTAAAGTGATTTCCCGCTTAGACTCTTCTACAGCTTGCGGCCCGGACAACATACCTGTTATAGTCTTGCAGAAGTGTTCTCCTGAGCTGTCGTCTATCTTTTCAAAACTATTCAACAAGTGCTTATCAGAGTCTTGTTTTCCAGCCTGCTGGAAAGCAGCATCTGTTATCCCTATTTTTAAAAATTCTGGAGAGCGATCTGACTCATCTAACTACCGTTCCATTAGTCTTCTTCCTATCATAACCAAGGTTTTTGAATCTTTAATTAATAAACACTTAATCTCTCATCTCGAATCTCATAACCTACTTTCTGATCATCAGTATGAATATTAATCTTCTCGTTCTACGGCTGAATTGCTATCAGTAATAACCAATAGGTTTTATCGCGCATTAGATAAAGGTGGAGAGGTTAAGGCCATTGCTCTTGACATTTCTAAAGCGTTTGATAAAGTTTTGCATGCTGGTCTCCTCCATAAGCTTTCTTCTTATGGTGTATCTGGAAACATCTTTAAGATTATTGAATCTTTCCTTTCCAATCGTAGTATAAAAGTTGTCCTTGATGGACAGCACTCTTCTTCTTATTCTGTAACCTCAGGGGTTCCTCAAGGTTCAATCCTTGGCCCTATGCTCTTTTTAATTTACATTAACGATCTTCCAGATATTCTCACATCTAAGGTGGCATTGTTCGCTGATGATACTACCATTTATTCTTGTCACGATAAGAAGCTAACTCCCTCTGATTGCTTGCAGGGGACATCTGAGCTCGAAAAGGATCTCACTTCTGCTACAGCATGGGGCTCGCAGTGGCTGGTGAACTTTAATTCAGATAAAACTCAATTTTTTTCGGCCAATCGTTATCGCAATAATTTAGACCTTCCTATATTTATGAACGGTAATGTACTCGATGAGTCTCCTACCCTTCATCTTCTAGGATTAACTCTTACTTCTGATCTTTCTTGGAAACCTTATATCAAATTTGTTGCAAAATTAGCATCTGCTAAAGTTGCTTCTCTTTATTGAG